AGAGACTAGATTGCATACAAACAGACAGACAGACGGACAGACGGACAGACGGACATGGATAAATCAACTCAGCTCGACGTTCTGATCATATAAGTATACATTTTGATGGGTCTATCTCTTTTTGTTCTGGTACTTACAAACATCGGACCAAAGTTATAATACCATTTCATGCTCATGAAAGGTATAAAAACCGGGGTGCCAGATATATGTAAATTCATAATTATTATAGCTTACTTCAAATTATATAGTAAAGCAAAAACCGTTTGCAGACATAAATAAATATTTTTGAGTAGGATTGCCAGCTTTCTTTCTAGTTGCAATTACGTTTATTAATTATGGGTATCAAGCGGAAAATATTTGAACAAGCTTTAACACTAGCATGTTTTTGAGTAGCGTTGCCGTAACCTGTTATTAGCCTGCGAATTTTCGCACTTGCAGTATCCAGGGCCAACCTCGAAGAGGTTACAGGAATAAAATACCCCACTTTTTTATTTATTATTTTTTTCCATGTCTTTATTTATTTATTTTTTTTAATTTGTACTAATTTTATTTATTATAAAAAAGCATTTCATTAATTCCTATATTATCTTAGTCATCGTAAATTAGATTACTTTATGCATTTAATTTTTTTAATGTTTTGATTTTTTATTATTTTTTATTGTCATCTAAATTTAAATGTATAAACAATTTACTTCACATTTGGAGGCCAAGTCCTTTCATTTGACAACTCACTGTTTAGCCCAACGAACATCTCACATCTTATAGTATTTCGTATAGGTGGCAACCTTCTTCAAAAAATAAAACCTTACTGTACATCTGGAGGTCAAGCTCTTTGCCTGGACGCCTCATTTTTTATAATTGTATGAACTGTACAAGTCTGATGCGATTAAAAAAAAATTCCACTTTCACTTGTTATCTCATTTTAACTCCAACAAACGGTGAATATCTTATAATTTTAAAACAGTTGGCAACCTTACTCGAAAAGATTATACATTATTGCACATCTAGAGGCTAGGTCCGAAAAGACTTTGACAGTGACGGTGCAGAACAGATACCTTCGCCTATTATGATTGAATCAAGTAATTTTATTTACAGTTGGAAATCCTATTAAAAAAAAATAAAAAATTGATGCTTATCTTAAGGCCAATCCATTTCATTTAACACCCAATTTTTTGTAATCCAACGAACGGTGCGAATTTTATAATTTTCTAGACAGCTGGCAACCCTATAGAAATTCTACATACCAAAGGCCTTTCTCCTATCAATACAGAATATATTCCAAATCCGTTGAGTAATTTTCGATATTCTCTTCTATGCTATGTAGTTATGATGTGACCAGAGAGGACGGTTACTCATACGCCGTGTATCGTACATTTAAATAGATGAACACACGCTTTCTTGAAAATCTAACAATTAATTACAAAAAGCGCAAATTATCCGTCAATTTTAATTAATGAAGATGTCTTTGGCTATGAAATAGTTCGCTATATTTTTTTTTTTAACAGCGGCGGGTAGCAGTGTCGATAAACGGAATAGTATACTTTACTAAAATATTAAATTTTTATTTATTAAAATGTTTTTCAAAACAAAAAATAATTATCAACAAATTTTGTTACAGTACGTTTACCAACATTCATTGATAGTTTAAAAAAATTCAAGAGCTTTAACTGTAGTCTTATGGCTATATTCATAAAAAATAAAGTATATTTTAAAAGCTTTATAAAGTGACATTTTTATAAAAATTTTCGATTTATAAAGCACTTAAAGTTTTCCTTACGTTTTTATGAATTTAGGTGTTAGAATATATTAATTTATTAATTGATCAAATGTTTTCATAACTAAGGCTTAGACATGCTTTTTCAGATTTTATGGATTCTGAGTTTGTTTGTGAATATAACAAAATGTTTCAAATGTCATAATATTTTCTTTATGCATACTCCAAGGTATCTAGATTAAATAAGTATATGTTTTATGCTTTTAATTAACATTTGTTTTGGGCTTTCAGTCTTCCGGTCCATTGTGCATTGGTATGACTACATACATAGGTATATGCGTGCATACATACATACATACATATACAGTGCAAGCGCATTCAAAATTTATATTATTTTGTCTTTTTTTCGTTTTGTAAAAAGGATGTACCATCCTATATATATTCATGTATATATATATGTACATATGTATGTATGTATTTATGTATAAGCATAAAAATTGCAGCTGTGAAAGCACGTCGTTAAGTGTGGCTGTCCTTTTTAATTTCAAATTATTTGTAGTTACATACGTGTGCTGGTATCCGAAGGATCTCTTAGGACCGCCTATGCTAAAACAAAGGTGGCCTTGGCCGAAATTGGTGCATCGTGAGTGTCCCAGGGAGTTAAGGCCGCAACCTATCAGTACATACTTTGAGGCATTAAGACACGTACGTATGTAGTATGTGTTTACACTGTAAACTTTACATAGAAGTAAAATTCCTCAAAGCATATTGTGTCTAAGTATATCTATGTTGTAAGTGCATCTATTAAAAAAAAACTTTGAAAATTTTGTTATCAGCTTATTTTACTCATACATAAGAAAATAGCACAGACAGATTGGCAAAATAAAAGCGTAAAGATATTTGAGTAGTAGTTGATTGATCATTGCAATAAAATGTCAACCGAAGTTGAAAGCAGACATTCATTCATTCGTTCAACATCTTTTACAATCACTTTACTGTCATTCATCACGCCACAATCATTCACTCATTGAGTCCACTTTTCGCTTGTCACTCTGTTTAGGTTCATATACGTATTGCCTAGCAGCAGCACAAACCAAACATTGAATTGTCCAGGACACATCTGTATGTACATACATATATTTTTACAGCGTCAACAATTCCATGTGTTTATGTTTACTACTTAAAACCCAGTGCCAGCAAGTAAAAGAGTACATAGGTACACAAAATAAACAATAGAAATTATTTGTCAGACCAGAGAAATGATTTACCGGCAAACATGATTAGATACCAGCAAATAGTTGGAGAAATGAGTTGGCGCAAAGTACTTTGTTGGACAAACGAGCGAGTGCATGAGTGTTGCGATTGAATAATCAAAGGGTAAAGCAAATATGATGGCATCATGATTGACAATCTCAATGACCTACATACAGATGTAAGTAAATAAACAGTAGTGCTGCTGTAGTTTTGATAGTCGGGCAAATGGAACTACTGAAATTGTAGCCTGGCAAATCCAGAGCATTATTTAATGATTCATGAATTTTGTGAAGATATTTTCACTATTAGCGCTTATTATGTCGTGTAAGAGAAACAAATAGAAATTGTTGGAATATGAAAATAATCAAAGACATTTTCTAGGTAATTGCATTTAGGTTTGTTCCACAAGCTACTTGTATAAAAACTCGAGCAAAGTTCAAACTGTGAGCGTTTATCAAAGAAACTCTAAAACTTACTTTTGCAACGCGTATATGTAAGTCGAAGTGAGTTTGAGTAGCTTGTGGAACAAACC